CTTCTGTACAGGGTAAAAAATGATTGTGTATGTATGTGTATTTTTATATATAAAGTATCATGTAATTGTGTATATCAATTTCATTAGGATAGAAGCCCCATGAAGGTAGCACTTTGCCTATTTTGTTCACTTCTGACTCTCCTGAGCATAAAACAATACCTAACATATTAGTTGAATGAATGAATGAATGACATTACAGTTACACTCCTATTATTTAATTTACAAACAGTAAAAATGTTGCCAAAATTCTGAATTTCTACTTAGTGAAGTGTTTAAAAATCACAGAGCTGTTGTAAAGATTAAATGAAGGGTTTTGTTTAAAAATTGTATAATTAGATAGAAAAAAATAGTGGAAGTAAAAATATGTGAAAGTACTTAACTTAGGGTAGGAAATCCAATAACATATAAGTTGACTCCAAATCTAAAGAGGAGTTTGAGTGAAATAGAGGATTTCCCTAAACTATCTTCAAATTGGAGCCCAAGTAGTCCACATGTAAAATAGTTTTTACTCTACCGCTCTGAATGGGGTGTTTTCTTGGAAATAGAGGTATTGGCAGCTAATCGATGACATTGTTCCCATTAAGATGAGCTTGCCAGAAAATTCTACTTACTATGGGGACCTCCTTAGTCTAAAACATTTTCTCTGCAAGTCCAAGGAAATCTTGGAAGGGTGAGCAAGAGAATCACCTTTTACTGAGGACCTACCACATGTCCAGCTCTACCAAGGATCTCATTTATTTCCTACTTTAGCTTTATAATAATAGTTAACATTCATTGAGTATTTACTTTATTCTAGGCCCTGTTTTAAGCACTTTTCATGAATTAACTCAATAATTCCTCACACCAACCCAAGGAGGTATGTATTTTTGTTACCTCTGATCCAAAGAAAAGGACACCCAGGCCAGAGAAGTTAAATATGCTCAAGGTAACACAACTTGTAAGTGGTGGAGCCAGTATTCAAACTCAGGTGGTGTGGATTCCAGTGTACAGGCTTTAAACTGCCTCCTTATAGGATTATTATCCTCATTGTTATGGAGGAGTTAAGGCTTGGTAAATGAGGTGACTTCCCAAGATCACATTAACAGAAATGTCTATTCTAAAGCTGAGCATACTTTACTTTTCCTTATGTTGTTTTGCTTCAATGTCAGCTCAGTAAAAATAATAAATCTAGCAGTTAACACTTATTGAATACTTACTGTATAGCAGGCGTTAAGTGCTTCATATGAACATTAAATGAGTTGAAGTTTGAGTAACTTATAAAGGTAACAGTCGGTGGAGTCAGGATCTGAAACCTGGTTTATTTGTCTAAAGAGCTGAAGTTCTTAACCACTCTACCATACTACCTGCCTAGAAAGATTGTCCCTCCTCTGCCGTAGGCCCCATCTGTACTATTCTTGCTGAAGTCATGAGACAGAACTGACACTACTCTTACTCCTTGTGTTGCTGCATTTACCAGGTCAGCAAGGAGAATGATATAATGACAAACTCACTCCTCAAATTAAAATGGTGTCAATACTGTACCCTTTGGGCTCAGGCATGAGCTACATGCTTACCATCAATTCAGATTTTTGTCAATAGGAATGAGACTGATAGAAATAAACAAAAGGTGTTTTTTTAAAAAAAAAATAACGACACACCTTTATTGAGAAATAATTTATATATACCACACAGCTCACCCATTTAAAGTGTACAATTCAATAGTTTATAGTACATTCAGAGTTGGACAACCATGATGACAATCTAATTTTAATATTTTCATCATACCCTAAAGAAACCTGATACCTCTCATTCCTCTAGTCCTTGGGAACAATTAACCTGCTTTCTGCTTCTATAGATTTGCCTATTTCTAGACATTTCATTTGAATGGAATCATACGATATATGATCTTTTATGACTGGTTTCTTTCACTTAGAATAATGTTTTCAAGATTCATCCATGTTGTAGCATGTTTCAGTGCTTCATTTGTTTTTATGGGTGAATAATATCTCACTGTATGGATATATCAAAGTTTGTTTATCCATTCCTCAGTTGATGAACATTTAGGTTGTTTCCGTATTTTGGCTATTATGAATAATGCTGCTATGAACATTCATGTACATTCTTTTGTTTGAATGCCTGTTTTCAATTCTCTTAAGTATGTATGCCTAGGAGTGGAGTTGCTAAGTCATGGGAAAACTTTATGTTTAGCCCTGGCCATGTGGCTCAGTTGGTTGGAGCATCATCCGGTTACACCAAGAGGTGGAGGGTTTGATTCTAGGTCAGGGCACATACCCAGGTTTTGGGTTCAATCCCCAGTTGGGGTGCATGCGGGAAGCAACCAATCAATGTTTCTCTCTCCCTTCCTCTCTCTAAAAAATACAAAAGAAATTTAAAAACCTCTATGTTTACTATTTTAAGGAACTGCCAAATTGTTTTCCAATGTGGCCACATTATTTGACATTCCCACAAGCAATGTATGAGTGTTTCAATTTCTCCATATCCTCACCAACACTTGTTATTGTTTGCCTTTTTGTTATAGCTATTGTAGTGGGTATAAGGTAATGTCTCATTGTAGTTTTGATTTCTATTTCCTTAATGTTGAGCATTTGCATATATTCTTTGGAGAAATGTCTACTCTAATCCTTTGCCCATTTTATTTAGTTTTATCATTGAGTTATAATAGTTATTTATATGTTCTGAATAAAGGCCCAATATTAGACATATGATATGCAAATATTTTTTTCAATTATGTGGATTGTGTTTTTACTTTCTTAATAGTATTGCTTGGAGCACAGTTTTTAATTTTGATGTGCTTCAATTTATTTATTTATTTATTTATTTATTTATTTATTTATTTATTTATTTGTCCTTGTGCTTTTGGAATTCTAAATAATCACTGCCTAACCCAATATCAAGATTTACTACTGTTTTCTTCTAAGAGTTTTGTAATGTTAACTTTTACATGTAGGTTTATGATCCATTTCAAGTTAATTTTTGTGTGTGGCGTAAGGAAAGGTCCAACTTCATTCTTTTCCCTGTGGATACTCAGTTGTTCCCATGTAATTGGTTGAAAAACTATTCTTTCTCCATTTTATTATCTTGGCATTCTTATCAAAAATTAATTGACCATAATATGAGGATTTATTTCTGTACTCTCGATACTATTCCATTTATTTATGTGTCTAGCCTTGTGCTTGTACCAAACTATCTTGATTACTGTAGTTTTGTATTAAGCTTTGAACTCTAGAAGTGTGAATTCTCCAACTTTATTCTTTTTAGAGATTGTTTTAACTATTCTGGGTTCCTTGCAATTACATATGAACTTCAAGTTTGACTTTTCAATTTATGCAAAGAAGCCAGCTAGGATTCTCATAAGGATTGCATTAATTTGTAGATCAATTTGGGGAGTATTATCATCTAAACAATATTAAGTCTTCCCATCTGTAAACATAGGCATCTTTACACTTATATTTTAAAAACTTTCAACAATATTTTGTAGTTTTTAGTGTACCTGTACTTCTTTTGTTCAATGTATTTCTAAGTATTTTATTAAGTTGATGCTATTATAAATGGAATTGTTTTCTTAATTTTTTCAGATTCCTCATTGCTAATGTATAGAAATACAAGTGATTTTTTCCCCTATTTTTAAACTTATCTTTATTGTTGAAAGTATTACAAATGTCCCCTTTTCCCCCATTGACCCCCTCCACCCAGCTCCCCACACCCCAGGCCTTCACTGCACTGTAATATTCAGGATTCAACACAAATATTCCCTTCTCAGAAATGCCCTTATCTATTCAAGTGTCCCCTTCCTTAATCCTCATCACATCACCCTTTTAAAATTTTCTTCACAGCACTTACTATTATCTGAAATTATCTTATTTCCTTGATTGTGATCTGCCTCTTCTACTAGAATGTAACCTTTATTGTTGAAAGTATTACAGATGTCCCCCTTTTTTCCTCCATTGATCCCCTCCACCCAGCATCCACTCCTCCCCCTGCAAGGTCTATATCAACTTTGTATCAAGCAATCTTGCTGAACTAATTTAGGCAGGCAGTATGAGAAGAACAAGAATATGCCTAGGATTCAGAAGGAATGAATTGAGTAAATCAGGACTAGAATAATGTATAGTTACCATGTATCGAGCATGTTTGTGATAGGTTACTGTTTTTTAACTTTTAATATGAATATGAATCTCGTGGGAATTTAATTAAAATGCAGACTTTTGTCAGTGGGTTTGAGGTGGAGCCTAGGTTTCTGTCTTTCTAACAACTTCTCAGTAGATAGCCTACAGCTTTCATTTATTATTTTTAAGCCACAACAACCTTGTAAGATATATATTGCTTCCATTTATAAATAAAATATGAACTCAGAAGTTGAGCAAATAACCAAGTTTATAGACTAAGAGGCAGAATCAGGATTTAAACACAGTTCATTTTAATGCCAAAGCTAGGTTCTTTTGATTCTACCACATTTGATATCTGAAATAGGATATCAGTTGAGATATGAACAATGTATGGATCAGGAAAAAATTAAGTTTTTCAGTGTCAGAGGAGTTGCCTAGAGTGCATTTGGGTCTAAACCTTGAGGTTATCTTGGAAAGCTGGTCAGCAAGGACCTTACTTTCCAGGTTGCTAAAAGTGAGGGTGTGAAACTGGAATAACAGGTAGAAGGAAAATGATACTAGTAGACAGAACAAAAGATTAGAGGAGGTTTAGAAAATTGATCACTTCTGATCAGAACAGATTTCAGAACTGGACTCTTTATACTGCTGAGGTTTACACTTGAGGTTACAACTATTGTTGACTCTTCCCAAATTGTAAGTCATTTTACTGGGGATAATTAATGATATAGTACCAGTGCTATCCCTGAGGGGCCAAGGTAAGGGTTTAGGAATGTGGGTAAGGTTCTGGTCATATGGTTACCTCTGAAAAAGTATGGATAGATGACCAAATTCCTTTCCAATAATTTTCAGCAGGATATTAGGAGATTTCCATCACCTCAGTCAAAACACGTGAGATTTTTTTTTTTGTCCTTAGCACCTTTTATTGAAGTATGACCCTTGATGACAATCTGACAGGCATATCAATGTCAGCCAAGAAGGGAGTGGTGGAGGACACAAATGCAGAAACAATAAGACTCAGAAAAATAATAGCTTCACATGGGATAGATGGCCCCCAACAGTTGTACAACAAATACTGGTTCTTTAGCTATAGAAATTGCCCCCTGTCCCACCCCCCTCTAAAGATCTACTAATCTTCAAAGAATATAATATGCTGTTACAGAAATATTATTGGCATAGATAACTCCTTTGGCAAACACATTGGGAGTCACCAAGCTCCAGACAGGAGGAAGTGGACAGAAATGTGCCCAGCTTCCTTCATCTGAAACCTGCTACTGGCAGAGCAGCACCTTTAGGGAGGCTGGGGTTAAGGTTGTGGCTCTAGTGCCCCTGGACAACTTTTGGGCACATGAGGTTAAGTGGAAAACAGAACCTGAAACTGGTCTTGAAAGAGGCTTTTCACCTTTTCACCTCTGTTCCTCTGCTTCCAGTATCTCCCTTGCAAGGACTTTATTTTTAGTATCTTTGTCTCTTTCTCTTGAGCATTTACTGCTCTACCCTGGTTGAGTCTGCAGACAGTAGGATTTAAGGAGACTCAATTACCCAGGTCCCTGGGAATAAGGAATTAGAAGGGACATGTTATAGTGGCTCTTGCACTAATTCCTCTCTCTATATCGACCACTGTATTTACCTGTTACTCATTGGGGCCTGTAAGAGTATTTGAAGGGAGAGGGCAGAAGTCAAGACCAGTAACTGTCTTTGTGGAAATCCCTTGGCCTGCCTTCCAGACTGCTACCCCTGGAAGGCATTTGTGGAGGGCAGAGCACAGGACATGAGAACGAAGAAGAGACTCTGGATCTCAAGTAATAGTGACAGCTTTGCAGCACTATCACTCACAATGGGACTGCTGTGTCAGCAGTGCTGGACATCAGTGCCTGTTTAGTAGTTCACTTTGTCTGCCAAGCTTCACTGCTCAATATAATTTTTTGGTTATTTTATTAAGATCTTTGGAAACTGTCCCTCAGTGTACAAATGAGCATCCTTTTGTTCTGATTCCAACTCTGTAACAATTTGAAGTAGGATGAAGGACAAAAATTACAGAGTCAATAGTACTTTTAGTGTGATAAACTTAAGGTACAACCAATCTACCACTGACTAGAAAAACTAAGACTATGGCCACGGTGTCCAGGTGAGTGACCACCCTGGGCCTGTATTTCCAAAAAGCTGTTCTAGCCACACAATATCACACACACACACACACACACACACACACACACACACACACACACACAGTCTTATACTGATGGACTACATTGGCCTCATTCCCTCAATAAAGGACATCTCAATCTTGCCCTTTGTTTGTTTTAGAGCCTGTTTTTTGTTTGTTTGTTTTTTAAAGATGGCAGCCACAGCCTATATTAAAAGCAGTCCTCCACTTTCCTCAACATTAGCTTGGGTAAGCTTAGCCCTTTACAAGCCATCAGCTTTCCTGGATAAAGTAGAATTCTCCACTTGGGGGAGAATGGCAGGTTGATATTTTAACAGTAGTTCTGACAGCAGCAGTGTACTAAGAGCATACCCAGGCCCACCCCTCAGGACAACCTGCTGGCCAAGATTCTTCCATTGTTTCCAAATACAATGAGGAGGAAATGGAAGTTAGTAACCAGTATTTGTAGCAGCAGCAAACTTCCTTGGCAAATTCTTTTGGTCCATTGAGGCACCCCTGCTGCTACAGTTAACCTCCAAGGACAGGGAGGAACTCAGCAATAACTAGAACAGATACCAGGGCTTGCTGGGCAGGGCTGTGCAATACCAGGCATGGGCCAGTTTGCAAGGAATAGGAAACTGAGCTTTATAATAGGGCAGAGTTTGGCCATAACCCCCTTCCTGCCATCACCCACCTGAAGGCTTTTCCAGGACAGAAACTGGCTACCAGTGTCAGGGCCTAGGCAACAGCAGCAGCATTAGTTGTTTGTCTGCCTCACATCCTGTCTGGATCATAATTTGCTCAGGAGACTGGCCCTGACTGGAGCTTTCGGCTACCATGAATTTTGGTTCCCTGAGCCAGGCCACAGGCTGAGAAAGCAATTAGATAGAGGAACTCCTCCTGAGCTCACCTCTCCCCTTTCCTTAGCTTGGAGACTGTAAAGAAATAGGTGGACCTTGGTAACTTTCAGATTTCTTTGGTTTCAAGAAAAAAATGTAAGAAAAATTGAACCCTGTTGGGAAATATTAAGCTTACGGTTATCCATACTTCAGTAGAAGTATAGGGCCAGGCCACAGTGGGGAAGCTCTGAGTTCAAGGTGAGAACTTCTTTTAGACACTTGTCAGCTACGGTGGGAATAATTCAAGGCCTTGACACCCACTTACCCAGCCATGGCGAATTCAAGCTGATCTACAGAAAATCTTTTCCTTCTAGGCTAACTTTTCCCTTTCTAATTCCCCTCATTTTACCTTGTTAGGTAAAAAAGAAGAAAAAAATCAATAAAACATAAAAATAAATAAAATCAAAAGGCCATTTAAAATATAACAATAAGAATCCCTTCCCCCCAGTAACAAAACAAGTATGTTGAAGTCAGCTTTAGCAAAACTGTTTATGACCCATAGTGTGAAGCCCTTAGGGTAGGCATCTGTAACCCAAGCAATAAAAAGGCAACATGAAACAGGAAGTGGTAGGCCCAAAGTCTTAGGACAGGTGGAGGGCCACACTAGCTAGGGATAAGAGTGGGCATCTTTCCCCTTATGTAGATGCTGGGGAAGGTGGGATGGAGCCCACTTCATTAAGCCTAGCTCCTCCCAGCAGGGCCTGTGGGGATCCCAAACCTTTACTCACATTCTGTTAAGTATAATTCTCCTTCTCTGCTTCCCACTGCAAAGCTTAAGTGAGGCCCTGAAATTCCAGTAGATAAATGCCCTCAAGATAGCCAGATCTCTGAGAAGTGACTGGGCCATGAGCCTTGGGGCAGAGTGGAGCTTCATCGGCAGCTTCTCTCTGAGCCTTGAAAGGCTGATTATGGTGTGGGTGGGTGTTGAGTGCATGATGTCTCTGATGTCCTAGTACAAAGAAGAATGAAAGTACTTTGTTGGTTCTGTGTATGGTAAGTGCTTGCTGTACAAACTGTGGGAAAGAGAGTGTGGTTATATAATCACACTCTGTTACAGCTTCTACTTCTTGCTTCTACTCCCTAGAGTAGAAGCTTGGGGCCTCTCCAGAGTCTCCTAGCTGGTTGGGTGCCCTGCTTCCCTGCTTGGTAAGGGGCAGTAAGAGACATCCAGGGTAGAGGATATGGAACAAACTGCTAACTAACTGCTATCTATATGCCCACAAACTGCTAATGAAGATTGAAAGCACTTCCCATTGTGGCTGGACAGGGATGATGTGGGCAGTCTGCTGGTGGAATTAGAAATTGCTAGGCCCCAGGAGTAGGCTCTCCCTGAGACATTTGAGCTGCTCTTCCCCAAGCTTGATCTTCTCTTCTAGCTCTCTCTGTTCAATGATGAGAGCAGATTTCATCTTCACAAAGTGCTGGTAATCTTGGAGCTGGTCCTGAGGCAGGTAGCGGGAGACCATGCCAAACACCAACTTCTCCCTCCGGTCCACATGCTCCTTCAGCTCCTTGGCATCTGCCAACTGCCCTGTCAGCTGCTGCTTCTTCTCTATCAGCACCAACTGCAGAAGTAGAAAAACAATTAAGGGTAATTTCAATTACCAGTCATCTGCCTAACCCAGTGCTCCACCAGGTGTGCTGCCACAAAGCAACAATCCACTCTGGAAACTGATCAGTTGTTGATTTCCTGCCCTGAAGTCCACCTTCATGCAAAATCCTTCCTTTCCTGTAGCAGTGGGAGGATACACGACAGTGATTCTGGTGGGGGGAGGGGGATGTGCAATCACCTTTTTCCATCTCTAAGCTGTCTTTAATTAGTGGACCTCTGCTGAGGTAAGGGTGGGGGAAGGCTCTGACAAAGCTATCTGGTAAACACCCATCACTGTGACAATGCTTTCAAAATGGTATGTGTCTCTGCATGGGTGTATGTGTGTGCATGTATATAGCCATGTGTGTAGGCGCATGCCTACGTGCCTCTTATTGTGTATTCAAATTTGTATCTAACACCACTTGCATAGGGAAAGGCAACACAGTTTTGGTTCATGAATGTATGCATAGTGATCAAACCTGTGGAACTGACAACCTCCCAATCTCAAATACTTGGTGAGACCTCTCCCTCTAATAAGAGACAGAGAGAGAGAGAGAGAGAGAGAGAAGGGAAGGGAGGAGAGGAGAGGAGAGGAGAGGAGAGGAGAGGAGAGGAGAG